GGACAGAGCTGACACCATCAGAGGTCAGTGCACACATTACTTGGTGGACAGAGCTGACACCATCAGAGGTCAGTCCACACACTATTTGGTGGACAGAGCAGACGCCATTAGAAGTCAGTCCACACCCTATTTGGTGGACAGAGAAGACACTATCAGGGGTCAGTACAATCACTATTTGGTGGACAGAGCAGACACCATCAGAGGTCAGTACACACACTATTTGGTGGATAGAGCTGACACCATCAGAGGTCAGTACACACACTATTTGGTGGACAGAGCAGACACCATCAGAGGTCAGCCCACACACTACTTGTTGGACAGAGCTGACACCATGAGAGGTCAGTACACACACTACTTGGTGGACAGATCAGACAACATCAGAGGTCAGTCCACACACTATTTGGGGGACAGAGCAGACACCATCAGAGGTCAGTCCACACACTATTTGGTGGACAGAGCAGACAGCAACTAGTATGCACCCGCTTCAGGAGTCTTGGGAGTTTGAAGACAACGAATTACTTTTTTAACGCATTATATTCCAGTCACAGCACAACATAAGTACTCCTGTAAGTTTAATAAAGACTTCACATTGTAAACAGCAGATTGAACGAGAAGACATACTAGCAAGAAGAAATGACATTTTGATATTGCAGGCATGATGAATATTCAATTGTAAAGGAGCGTTCTGACTCAGTGCTATATATACATTGATAGACAGATAACATCGGTCATAACAACTGCCTATCTCACCAGAGCTACCTTTTTTCCCTCAGTATGTGGACCGGTGCAGAGCGAAGGTCGTTCTCGTGACACCTCTCAAGTTTCTTATCATACTCCATATCACTCCAACTCTCCATATCAACAAAGGGACCGATGTGTACTGGGCTGATATTGGTGTCGAGGGTTGATGTCGGTATGGCATTTTGCCACTGGATAACCTGTGTATCTCTAACCGAATTGTAACCAATTATGTGTCTACATGCACGCGAATGCAATGCTTTTAACCTGTTTGGATGACATTGTTATGGAAAACTAGCAGAGAAGACCTCCATGGCTGATATCTACGAAAGCCACATGTGTAGCATTGAAATGATTTTCAGCGAAATTCTGCCAGCTTCAATTATTTTGTTTTTGCTTCGAGTATTTTCTCGTTGTTTCAATTAGTTTCTTGTTGCTTCGAGTATTTTGTCATGACTTCATTTAATTTCTTGCTGCTTCGAGTATTTTGTCGTTACTTCAATTATTTTTTCATTGCTTCAAGTATTTTTTCGTTACTTCGATTAATGTCTCTTTGCTCCGAATATTTTGTAGTTACTCCAAGTTTGTGTAAAAACACTTGACATTTCGGATTTTTGAAAGAAACTTGATGTAACGAGAAAATAATCGAAGCAACGAGAAAATAATCGAAGCAAAGATAAAATGTAGCCCTAGAAGTATTTTATTCTACAGAAGTTGCAGCGTCTGGCTTTCGGAAATATAAACCAATATGCACGGGCTAACTGTTTTAGTCAGGCATGTGATTACAAAGTGTCTATTGTAATATGATCATACCTTTATCGCATATGATTGACAGGTATACGACAATGTTACAATGCACACCTCAGCAGCAGCTGGGCCGATATCACACTACTTGTGTTGTTTGTTCCATCACATATACTGAACCAAAAAAAGAAACTTCATACTTGGAGAAATGAACTATACTGAAAATGTGTAGTACAATATAGTTAGTATAGGAGAATACTATACTGGACAAGTTTAACCTGACACCTCCGTCCATTACAACTGTGGCGAACCGATGCATGTAGCACGCTCTTTTGTGAAACGCCACCCTGCACGTGTGCGAGGCCACGTGACCACAATTCCATGTGCCTAACCACCAACACCTGTGCAGAATTTGCTGGTGATTAGAAAAACGCGCCAAGAATCCTTGAGAGCTAAATAACTCTCATGCCACGTACCAATACAATCGCCAATGGCTGAAGGAATGGTATAAATCCAGCTAGGGTAGCCAAAGTACTGTAAGTCCCCATGGTCCCTAGAGTGGTGGTCTATCTTCAGTTGTTGGCGTTCCTCAGCCTTTTTTATATTGTGTTGTCCTAATCTGAAATCCTATTTTAGAGATATATGCTAGTTGTATTTCTTGATATTGTGATATTCTAGTCGGTTTTACTGTCCTTACATGACAGGTTTTTATAATTTACCAATAATTACTATGTATAACAAATATAATGTTCTCGTCACGATATGGTTGAAATATTGCCGATGTGACGATAAATATTAACTCACTCACTCATGCCACATTTAACACGCGTTGAACGCGAACGTGCAAATGACATGTCCCAGAACGGTTAAACTACTGGGGCTGTTACACATGAAGTAGACGGATGATGCACAACCTGAGGACACGTGTGACGTCACATCATTACATCACAATCATATTCGGCTACGTCATTTGCGTAATCGTGTTACCATCGCAACGCTAACCAATATCGCACTGTGAGGTGGCCGGACCACCCGAAACCTTATACTGGACCGATTTTGACACAAGTAAACCGTAGTTCCTGCCACAATGCGGGGTACCGACGTCATGGCATGGCCACCGAGATCACCTGCCCTCAATCGAACATATATGGGATGTTCTTGTTAGAAATATTCGTGCCTTGAGACGACAACACCAGAATGCTGGGCGCCATGTTGGTACAGCAGTGGTGCAGGTTGTCTGTGTTCATGGGTGTTAGGTGTTACGGGGTAAGCACATTAAATGAAACATAGAGAACAAGTAGGGTTGGTCAAAGTTAACACTCATCACGTACCACACGTGCATGTGTTTCATTGTTCGAACTACTGCACTTACCAGTAATGCAAACCAGTAATAGCGATTTGAAACTATGATCGTTTGTGAAACAATTTTAATTTTAAGTTGAATAAAATTCTCAGGTTTAAGTGTTCAAATGGCAAGGTAAAATTATGAGGATTCGCAATCTTATTTTACTTTATTTGATTTATATTTTTATTGAAAGTGAAATTCATCGGTACGTTTTCCTCAAACAGACTGTAGTAGTGACCTGCCGCTGATTGGTAATGAACAAAAAGGAACCATGAATTAATCCAGGTGTAGCAAGGCGTGGAGTCATCCCACAGATGACATCCTTACCTTGTCAGCTTGTCGAAGCGTACCGTGGTAAGAGCATACCGGTTCACCCCTAACTTGAAGAACTACATGAAGTTGAAACTGATTAGTACAAGGTGTTAATATAGTAGAATGCCACAATGGCCATGTCTAGCCTGACGCAACCGTTTATGCATGTACATTAACTGTTAGTAGAATTATTCGTTCCTTTCCTGCAGTGCTTGTGAACATTTACAGTTCTCAAACGCACGCACACACGCACGCACATTCTGTTCAGGTGTTATCAACGAACTTAGCGCTACTCCGTATTGTTACAACAATGTAGGTTCATTCATATGATTGACAAGCTGTTTAATCGGAGACGATTATGGTGATATTATGACTAAAACCAGTAACTGACCATTCTGAGAATTCTGCATGTTATAATTACAGTGCATTAAAGTACGGTAAAAACAAACTCACGGGGACCACCAATTTTACACATTTCGACTAAAATATACAGGTGTCCGGGACCAACAGTTCGTCCTGTCCATCAGTTCGTTATAAGCGTATTACTCCCGTGAAGATCGAATTTGTCTTCAGCAACCCATGCTTGTCGTAAGGGGCGACTAACGGGATACGGTGGTCAGGGTTTGCTGACTTGGTTGACACATGTCACCGTATCTCAATTTTGTAGATCAGAGCTCATGCTGTAGATCACTGGATTGTCTGGTCCAGACTCGGATATTTACAGACCGCCGCCATATAGCTGGATTATTGTGAGTGCAGCGTTAAACAACAAACTAACAAACCATAACAGAATTACCTACGAGGGCGAAAATTTCGGGATTCATATTTTTCATAGGATGCAGTAAATAGAGAATACTACACTCGCTCTCATTACATAGTAAAGCGAGGTCAGAAACCATAGGAAGGTCACGAGTTTCGTATAATTCGTATGTAAAGAGACCGAGTGTGGTATTTTATTTATTACCCACGTCTTACATGCATCGAATTGACAAAAAAGCGTATTTTTGTTATTATGGTTTCAAACCGAAACCGGTTTCATAAAGAGGTTGCGGAAGAATTTTGTTCTGAAGTACACTTTTGCATGACGTCACACTGTATTGATGTCACTATGCCATTCTCGTCTGTCCCCTTGGTAACCGACGTCACTATGCATATCAGTTGTCATAGCCTCTCGTACAGCCTCCTAAAGTTAACTACTCCGTAGCACCCTGTTTCTTGGTTTGCAACTGCTTCACTCGGCTTATCACTGGTGGAAACATTGCGTTTATGATTTTCGACGGATATAATGTGTCAGTTCGATTCACAATTAAACAGCGACACGGCAACGTGCGCAATGTTTACATTCCCACAATGCATCTAAGTTGTAGAATGAATGAATTCACGTGTTTGTTATGAATGAACAAGTAGTTCCGTCACAACGTGACCTAACTGAGAGGTCATCGGTTATCCCATCAAATCGTTAGAATCTCAGGTCAAGTAGTTGCGACACAGGTCAACGCGATACGACACTCGTTTGACGTACGAGATTAGTATGCAACTACCCATACGTTGACCACGTGGGTAATAAATCAAAATATCACTGTCTCATGTTAACGTGACGTCATGAGCAACGCTATGACGTCACGTTTCTGTCTATGACATTGCATTCTACATGCGGTGACGGCGGGTAGCCAGCCAGTGTTTGAAAGTATGTATGTATGTTTACAAGCGTGTTCTATAACGTAGTTTGCTATTGGTGTTTCTTGCAGATTGTACATCCACGGCATTTTGGTCTGCATCAGTCTCCTACGAGATGTGGACCCTGACAGACCCCGCTGACATCACAGTGCAGTTCAGTCTGGCTCCCAGCGAGTACAACTTCCGGAAATACAACGTCGAGCTCGTCGGCGACCATGATGACAAAAATGTCCTCATCGGCTGCGAGGTTGACACTCTGGGTGATTATTCATGCCAGGGAATAGTAAGTATCTATATAATTGCACAGTGAACAAAAAGTTGTTTAACGTTTAAATCTGGTAGTTCAAGCTGCATGACGCCGTGGACCAAGCAAACCTGTGATTGGTGTAATGGTCAACGATCCACGATGTCGGGACACGATGACCCGCTGTCCATTGAAGCACGACGCCTGAAGCCCCGATCGAATTTAACAGCATCTTTCAAGCTTTGGGCGAAAGGTTCTCTCCGTCAAAGCGGCGGTTGTGTAGCTTAGTAGTTAAAACGTTCGACCGTCACGCCGAAGACTCGGGCTCGATTCACCACATGGGTACAATGCGTGAAGCCCATTTCTGGTGTCTCCTGATATTGCTAGAATATTGCTGGAATATTGCAAAAAGCGGCGTAAAATCATACTAGCTCACTCAATCTCTTCGTCAGAAATATACATTTAGGAATAGACAACCTTGCATGGTTTGGGCCGACTTTATAAGAAGATTATATACAATCCTATTTGCAAATATTCGGATTTATGCCTTCCTTGTTTAGCAATTATTAAAAACCTGAATCAAAATTTAACCGAAAGGGCTATCTATGAAATTAAGCGTATTGTAAGAATACCAATAATGGGAATGACATTTGTTGAAACCAGTTAAACAATGATTTGCTTACATTTATTCCAATGAGAGTTTGTTTCTTTGTCCAGAACAACCCCAAACCTGCTGCAGATGACAGTACTGTCACCCATACGTTCCACGACCTGGGGCCTGGTTCATACAGAGTGTGGGTACGTTCATGTAGAGATCTTGGTTCATACAGAGTGTGGGTACGTTCATGCTGGGGTCTTGGTTCATACAAGGTGTGAGTACGTTCATGTTGAGATCTTGGTTCATACAGGGTGTGAGTACGTTCATGTTGAGGTCTTGGTTCATACAAGGTGTGGGTACATTAGTTCATAGTGAGTGTGCGTTCGTTCATGTTGAGATATTGGTTCATACAAAGTGCGGGTACTTTCATGTTAAGATCTTGGCTCATACAGAGTGGAGGTACGTTCATTATGAGATCTTGATACATACAGAGCGCTTTAGTACGTTCAAGTTGAGGTCTTGGTTCATACAAGGTGTGAGTACGTTCATGATGAGACATAATGTCATACTGAGTGTGGTTCGTTCATGTTAAGATCTTGGTTCATACAGAGTGTGGGTACGTTCATGTGACTATAACCTTCTAGCGCCTAACAGGCAGCTTGGATTATCAGGGGTAATAATGTGTTGTGCCTTGATTGCTAGCGCTATGAACATACCTAGTGTGGCGCTATATAAATGGACACATTATTAATATTATTATTATTACTTTCACGTTGAGATCTTGGTTCATACAGAGACTGGGTACGTTCAGGTTAGGATCTTGGTTCATACAGAGAGTGGGTACGTTCATGTTAAGATCTTGGTTCATATAGAGCGTGGGTACTTTCATGTTAAGATCTTGGTTCATACAGAGCGTGGGTACTTTCATGTTGATATCATGGTTCATACAGGGAGTGGGTACTTCCATGTTAAGATCTTGGTTCATACAGGGAGTGGGTACTTTCATGTTAAGATCTTAGTTCATATAGAGCGTGGGTACTTTCATGTTGAGATCTTGGTTCATATAGAGCGTGGGTACTTTCATGTTAAGATCTTGGTTCATACAGAGCGTGGGTACGTTCATGTTGAGATCGTGGCTCATACAGAGCGTGGGTACGTTCATGTTGAGATTTTGGTTCATACAAGGTGTGAGTACGTTCATGCTGAGACATACGTTCATACAGAGTGTGGGTACGTTCATGTTGATATCGTGGTTCATACAGAGTGTTGGTACTTTCATGTTGATATCGTGGTTTATACAGAGTAGGGGTACGTTTATGTTTATATCGTGGTTCATACAACTAAGTGACCACCCCTGCATGTCAAGTACAAAATCAATGAATATGAACAAACCTGCTCGCTCGTCGCATCAGTCTATTTTAGGATCAACCGTTTGTTCATGGATATTATATGGTCGCTTCAAATACCCTGTGATAATGCGGACTGTTTCACCATTCAGATCACGCCAGTTGACCCCTACTGGCAGACGGAAGGGCAGTGTTTGTGCTTTGAGAGGACGTCAGTCAACCACACAGCCTGCCTCCGTTGTATTACTACATCCACTGGGAAAATCGCCGTCGAGGGACAGGGTCAGTCTCACAGACTTGTCAGGGTCGGAAATAGGATGTTTTGACGGTGTGCGTGCATGCGTGTGTGCGACTATCAAAATCTCTGTGTGTGCGTATGTGTACGTGTCTGCATCTCCGAGTTTGTGTACGCGCATGTATGTATGTAGGTATGTATGTAGGTATGTATGTAGTGTGCGAAATAGCCACTGGCCCGCTAGCCCGTGGCTAGTATAAATCGAGTCGGGCCAGTAAATCACCACAATCACTGGCCTGACTGGCTAGTGAATTTTCTTAGGGTCATTTTGTAAATATATCACTCTCTCCGACTTTTTAAGTTATAATACACTTTTAAATCATGCAAGATTAAAATATTAATTATGTTCATCATATTAGTAGCTTAATGGCGTACGTACGTATGTATGTAGGTATATGTATGTATGTATGTATGTATGTATGTATGTATGTATGTATGTATGTATGTATGTATGTATGTATGTATGTATGTGCGTTGTGTGTGCGTTGCGTCTGCATCCGCATGTGTGTGCTTGTATCTTTGCCTGTCTGTCTGCATCTATACGTATGCATGTCTGAATATGAGTGAGTGCGTGTATACATTTGGCGGGGATAATAATTTGAATCTATACACGATTGACAGGAACGTACAAGTTAATCTGGACCAGCCAGTGACGTCGACTGATAATAGCGACCTCTTTGAACAAACGCAGGCATATGCACAGCATCACACACACTCACACACAGATACATCTCAACCAACAAATCCCAGAAGGGGTCTTGAAGTCTCTTTTCCCTTTGGGGACATTCCCCTGTAACAACGTTCCACATTCTGTGTTCAGCAGCAGGGACATGGACGTCTTCCACGTCAACGTCATCCACATCAACGTCTTCCACATCACCGACACATCCAGCAGAGTCAACGGATCCCAGCGTGGGGACATCGGTAAGTCTGATATGCAGTCACATACATAGACTATACTATAAACTAACACTTAGTCTCTCAATATCTATAATTTTGATAGTAACAAACAACCCCATTTAAATTGAAGAGGAGCCCCAGGGAGACCAGAGATTCTGAACCTGAGGAAATCTAGACTTTCTTTATTTAGGGCTTTAGCACTGCAGATAGGGCTTGGCAGTAGAGAAAACAGAGTGGTTCAGGGACTGTGAGACAGATTAACCATACTACTGAATAGCTACAAGTGTCATCGAGGCGGTAGGGTAGCCAAGTGGTTAAACCGTTCGCCCGTTACGCCGAACATCCGGGTTGCTGCATTTTTGCTAAACGTAGCGTAAAACCATACTCACTCACTCACAAGTATCCTTCTACTATACGTGAGACTGCTTTATATTGCTTTGCTCTAACATGCTGTCAACACGGTTGTGTCGAACACTTGGTATATCGAACTTGTATGAAGTAACAGCTTGGTCCCTTCGTACTCTTTCATTAGTCATCGTTTTACGGCTGTGTGGAACCTCGGATTAGTCGAAGTATTTATTTAAGTCCCTTTAACTTCGACACAACGGTGTTTGACTCTAGTGATATAATCCAAGCAGAACTTCTGAGTGTAAGGATGGCTTCGAGTACGCCATAGCAAACACCTTTGATCCAGAGTTCGAATCAAAAGGCTCGGGTTCGATTCCCTACATATGTGCATTGTCTGTTTGATTGGCATTTTAGAAGTTGATGAATGATAAGAAAAGTTTAATATTTTATGGACAACAGCTTCTTTATTTCATTATGATGCAACGTTTCAGTATTTCTTCTTATACGGTTGTAAAGTTTCTTTCTTAAGTGCAATGTGTGAAACCCATTTCTTTCTATAAGTTTTAACTTTCCACACTAGTTTTAATTGTAATTGTAATATTCTAGTTGTTTTACTGTCCTTCGTAGACAGGTTTTTTATCATATGCATATATTCTATTTCAATTTCTAAGATGCCTAGCTGTTAGAACAATCGAAAAAAAACTACATTCTGAGACAATAAAGGTATAGTTTTTTGATGACGTAACAATTGAATGACGTTATCCCGTCACTGCGCCATTCTAGTGTGCCCCCTCGTAATCGAATTATTTTACATTACGTCACAATGTAAGTGACGTCACGATGCATGTCAGTTGTCATCGCCTCGTACGGCCTCCTACAGTAAACTACTCCGTTGCATCCCGTTTCTTGGTTTGCAGTTGCTTCACGCAGCTAACATCACTGGTGGAAACATTACGTTTATGTTTTACGACGGTTAAAATGTGTCAATTCGACTCACAAGTTTCCAGCGACACGGTAACGTTAGCAATGTTTACATTCCTACAATGCAATCGTGGAATGTCGCTTGACTACTCCGCTTCATCTGGATGTACTGATCTAAACTTACGTTGGTAGAAGAAATGCGACGTTGATATTGTCCCATATGGTTTACGTTAATGACAGATGTAATTAAAATAATTCAGAGAAGATATTTAATCCGAACGTAAACCGTCATCAAACTGTTATCATTTGTTTTTTTTCTGGTAACGTTCGTCTTAACGTAGTGGGGCAGACACATCAACAGAACAGCGCACCAGTTAGCCCTGTGCGAAGATTCTTAATTTAGGTCACCGACACCGTCATTTGTTTTCTGCCTTAAATTAATCGTAATTATCCTTAGAAAGTAATAAATTTAGCATCTTAGAAAAGATGTAAAGTTCGCTCTACCCCAATGTGTTTTGTAATAAAGTATAGTTTTTCCCTTAACTATTATAACATCAAGGCACTCGGACTACCGTCCTCGTGCTTTAATTATAATAGTTCAGGGCAAAACTATACTTTATTACAAAACACATTGGGGTAGAGCGAACTTTATTTCTTAAGTCAAATATGTTCTCGTCACGATATGGCTGAGATATTGCCGATGTGACGTTAAATATTAACTCACTCACTCACTCACTCTTGTGTCCCCCCGCTTGAATGTTGATCCAAGCGACGTAAAACCATACTCACTAACTCATCAGAATTATGTTCGAATGTGACCATTTTTCCATTAAACAGTATAATTTATATACAAGTCAGTATATACTGATATTTCCCACTGTAACCAATGTTCTCGTTGTTTCAGGAGAACTGCCTGATGATGTGGTGACGTCATTGGCGGCGTTGTTCGGCTCACTATTTGGCCTCCTCCTAGTTGCTGTAGTTGTCATGGTGTACAGAAGACAACGCGCCTCAGGTGAGTGAGTGAGTTAAAAGTCACACCGCCGCACTTCAATCATATCGTGACTATGAGAGTTGTATATTAATAATAATATGCTCAGACGATATAAATACCTGTTGACAAAAGATAACTAGTATAGGCTATCACAGATTTACGGACCGCCTCCGTGGTGTAGTGGTTAGAGCGTCCGCCCGGACCGCGTCATACCAAAAGACGTTAAAATATGGTACTTGTTGGTCCTGCCTGGCGCTCGGCATTAATGGGTACAACAAGGGCTGGTCGGCTCGGAGTCAGTATAATGTGTCTGAGTGGAGTATCCATGCATGCTTCACTGCGGCATGGTATCTCAGTGGGCTAGCACTATAAAACCAGCTTAAGTCTGGGCTAGTACAAGCAGACGCACATACACATACACACGCATGCACGTCGTCATATGAGCGAAATATTCTCAAGCACGACGTTAAACCCAATTTCACCTCACCTCACCTCACAGATGTACGCTTAAAACTATCATGTAACTATACAACGATATTTCATCACAACACTACAATATAAAAACGGGCTATAGATCGCCAGCAACTAAAGGTAGATCACCATACAGGAGACCACGGGGACTTACAGTACTTTTGCTTCCTGCTGCATTTACACTGTCCCTTCAGATGCTAGCGAGTGTCACTAGATGTGGAAAACATTCATGGGCTTCAGATGTGAATAAAAAAAAATTATTTTCAAGCGGGTTTTCTGGTTCGGTTTAAGCAAGATGTTGGTGATATACAAATATTTTTGTCAACATTTTAACAACGCATACAAATATTTTTATTCAGAATTGGTACGCATCAGTAAATTAATCCAGAATTCTTAGTCATTATTCTCAATGTAAATCGATGTTCGGACCCGAACAAAATATCAGTGGTTCTTAATGATAAGTCCCTTTTAAGAAATTTTTGTAAATTTAGAATCTCTCTACATGCCTTAAAAATCCAACGTTTTAGAAAAGATAATAATACATTGAAAGAATTATCATGTTCTTATTGTTCTCCTGGTAAAACTGAATACGAACGTCACTTGTTATTAGTCTGTGAGGCCTTCTCTGCCTGCCGAAAGAAGTATTTAAAATGCACTAATGATGCCCCACAAACGATATATAATGTACTTAATTCTAATAATGCTGATATTATCAAATCGGTTGCCATTTTCATAAAACATTAACTTGATGTCGATCCGTAAATCACATGTTAAGCCACAATTGCATGTCTTATGACCAATAGTTGTAATTGAGCAACTTCAATTGTACTTTGGGCCACTGGGCCTTAACACTACTGAATAAAACCTGTCTGTCTGTCTGTCGGTCTGATTATAGAGGACTCTAGCCATGAATTAAACTACCACATATTCTACATTAGAAAACGGAGTAGGAATATATTTTCCTTGATTGTTTTGGGACATACTTACCCTTTTAGGAGTACAACAATATTGCAATGTTTTAACCCCTTTGCAGATACAGGCACTAACAATCTTAGCTGCTAATTTAATCTACCATCTTTTAGATAAGATTTATCTGTTTACAAAACATATCAATCAATCTTAACATGAGGGTGAACGAGGGGAACTCACGGTGAGTGAGTGCCTGAATGAGTGAGTGAGTTTACTTTTACGCCGCTTTTAGCAACATCACGGCGGGGAACACCAGAAATGGGCTTCACACATTGCACCCATGTGGGGAAGCGAACAAAGAAAGGCACACCTACAGTAAAAAGAACCTTTATTTTCATCACCGTCTATTTGTGTTTAAGGTATTCGCGCGAGAAAGAATCCTGTACAGAAATTAAAGCTCATATAAAGCCACCTATTTGTGTTGCAGTGCTTCGTGTGAAGAAGGTGTACCTGCTGTATACGGACGACCACAAAGACCACAGCGAAGTCATCAACAAGCTGGCCATCTACCTGAGAGACTACTGCTACTGCGAGGTCTTCTATCTGCCCTGGTTCCGAGGAAAAATCCAGACAACGGGCGCCTACCAATGGATCCTCAGCCACATCGACCAAGCAGACTATGTCCTCCTCATCAGTTCTGAGGCAGCTTTCATGCTGTTTGACGCTCGGAACACGACCACATCTTTCAGGACAATGGATGGAGGTCCAGAAGGGGACACGTTCTCTCCAGCTGTAACTCACATCATGGCGAGGTCATCTCAGCCAGATTTCCACAAGAAAACCATCCTGGCCTATTTTGAATACACGGATGAGGAGTATGTTATCAAAGAAATTATCCCCGGAGTCAATTATCAGTTGCCAAAATATTTCAAGGAATTGCTGTGTCACATCCATGAGGTGGAACTGTGTGGCAAGACTCCAAAACAGGCGAAAATTAACGCTATGGGGAACCTACAAGCCTCTCAGTGTGGCAGGAGGTTATTGGATGCCGTTATCAAAGCCACACACTTCCAGAAAGCCTGCCCGCAATGGTTTTCCGAGAGGTTCCAGAGGCAGGACTCGGCGTACAGCTCCCAATATGACCACGTAGGGGATTCGGTGTCACGTACAGGTTTTTACCAGGTGGGTACAGATCGCGTGGATGCGAACCATAATAATTATGATGATGATGAAATGAGAAGTACCGTGACTTATAACACTACGTATGCAAGAGCTCACGAAATGTTCCCGCCCAGTGAGGTGCCAACGGATACACCAACTGAGTTCATCCACAGGCAGCTGCAGAACATCACCATGCAGAGCATGGGCATGCAGAACACATACACGCAGAACGGTCACATACAGGACATGGAGAACGGTCACATACAGGACATGGAGAACGGTCACATACAGGACATGGAGAACGGTCACATACAGGACATGGAGAACGGTCACATACAGAATACATACACGCAGAACGGTCACATACAAGACATGGACATGGAGAACGGTCACATACGGGACATCGACATGGAGAACGGTCACATACAGGACATGGAGAACGGTCATATACAGGAAAAGGACATGGAGAACGGTCACATACAGGACATCGACATGGAGAACGGTCACATACAGGACATGGACATGGAGAACGGTCACATACAGGACATGGAGAACGGTCATATACAGGACAAGGACATGGAGAACGGTCACATACAGGACAAGGACATGGAGAACGGTCACATACAGGACATGGAGAACGGTCATATACAGGACATGGAGAACGGTCACATACAGGACAAGGACATGGAGAACGGTCACATACAGGACAAGGACATGGAGAACGGTCACATACAGGACATGGAGAACGGTCATATACAGGACAAGGACATGCCGAACATTGACATGCAGAACGTCCTCATGCTCAAAGACAGCATGAACATAAGCGGCGCGGTTCACACTCATCGTCATTCTCCTCAAGACGATGTCTTCACACCTCCTAGTGACGTAGAGGCAGATGAGGATGTAGATGTGGACGTGGACGTGGATGATGACTTCCTTGCCATCAGTGTAGGCTGTAGTTCTAGTGGGCAAGGGTGTATGTATAAACAGTCTAACTGCTCACATGAACCAGGTGAACGTGTTAGTGGCATTGATGTTTAGGATGTGACACAACATGTCTGTCTGTGGGTCACTGTCTGTCTGCCTGTCTGTCTGTGTGTGCGTGTCTGTTTGCTTGCACGCATGCCCCTCCCTGCATGCCTCCGTGTGTGTGCCTGTTTGCCCCTGCCTGTCTATTTGCCTGCCGGTCTGTGTGAATGTGACTGCCTGTATATATATATATATATATATATATATATATATATATATATATATATATATATGTATGCCTGCCCGTGTGTGTGTGTGTGTGTGTGTGTGTGTGTGCGAGAGAGAGAGAGAGAGAGAGAGAGAGAGAGAGAGAGAGTTTCTGTGAGTGTATGTGCCTGCCTGTCTATATACATATCTCTGCCTATGTGCCTGCCCGTGTATGTGTGTGTGTATGTGTACGCATGTCTATATGTATGTCTGCTTGTATGTGCCTGCCCGTGTGTGTGTATGAGAAAGAGAAAGAAAGAGAGAGTGTGTCTATCTGTCTGTCCCGAAGATTTGTTCCCACAACCACTGCATTTGTTTCTTATATATACTTACTGACACATCTCAGTACCAGACGCAGACAAGTGTGTACATAGTGTAAATAACATTCTAACCAGGCATCTTCGTGCAGTAGTAATAACATTATGTTCTCCACAGGGACCAACTGTTGTATATCATTGCATTGTGCGGGGGTGAATTGGGTATTTTTACAAAACATATTCTGTTTCCGAAGACTCAAGCAGAACATAATTTGTCTCACAGGTTAAAGACACTCTTCCTACGTTCTTAAAGTTCTTGAAAATAATGTGCTATCCGACCAAAGAAGTATTTAACTTTTTCTTCCACAGAATGCCTTTTTGTGTCTTGAATAGCCAACTAAAAGCGTAATGAGCAATAAATGGCCGATTCCTTTCCGCCCCTCCGTTGGAGTATGGGAGGAAATAATGTAGTCACACAAAATATCTCAAACATCTTGAAATTCCTAAGTTAATATTCCCAAGGTAAATCCGTAACAACCGGTATGTTGACAAAACATACACCAGTGAGTGAGTGAGTTTTACGCCGCTCTCAGCAATATTCCAGCAAAATGGCGGCGATCTGTAAATAATCGAGTCTGGGCCAGACATGTACAATCCAGTGATCAACAGCATGAGCATCGATCTACGAACTGGGATACAATGACATGTGTCAACCAAGTCAGCGAGCCTGGTTAGTCGCCTCTTAGGACAAGCATGGGTTACTGAAGACCAATTCTAATCCGTATATATATATACTAATTATGAATAGTCTAGGGACATCACACCTGGCAGACTTGTGTGCTCTTTTCACAACAAGAAGTCATCATAGACTTGATCATGTCCAATCTAACTCTTTGCAAGCTTTGTGGTGTGGCAGGCAAGTTCCTGGGCCTAGATTTTCGAAGCTCTCTCAGCGCTAAGATAGTCGTAAGTGCCATACATTAACATTAACTTACGACTATCTTAGCGCTAAGGGAGCTTCGAGGGGTGTTAAATTAAATGTGTGTCTTAAAGTTACAAAACATCCTCTTATTCCAGAACTGTTTTCGTGATCATCGTTTGTTTTCAAACATAAACCTTCGGAGATTCCTTTGGAGGACATACTTCCTTTCCGACTTCGCTCAGTCCATAAGGGCGGTGGGGTAGCCTTGTGGTTAAAGCGTTTGCTCGTCACGCAGAAGACCCGGGTTCGATTCTCAACATGAGTGCAATGTGTGAAGCTCATTTCTGGTTTTCCCCGCAGTGATATTGCTGAAATATTGCTAAAAGCGGCGTAAAACCATCCTCGCAGTCACTCACTCAGTAGTTCAGCTAAGTCCCTTGGATATGTCTGTCAGCATTGGAAGTATCCATATTGAATTTTAAGTATCGAGTTTCACTGGTTTACATCACTATAACATTACACAATACCACCAGTAGTATTTGATTGTTGCACGAGACCTTACAGCGTGTCTTATGTCGTTCCATTAATAAATCATACTTTCAAAACCAGTCGTAATTGTACGTAATTTCTCTCTGTCTAATTGACTCATGTTCTACTTTGTGAAGAGAAAACATGAAGAGCCCGTTGTGGCTTGTATTCGTTTTGGGACTTAAGATATGACGTGTGAATCGAACTAACAACGTTAAAAACATCAAAACGAAAGACTCTGCAGAGGTAATCTAGAATCTTGATTTGGTCAGTTCATGTTTCACCTCTTTCAAAACATATTGAGGGTAGTTTTCCCGGATAAAGAAGAACATAAGCTAATTTCCGGGCCTTTCGAGATATTTGTGTTATGTTAAGCGTAAGATGTTTTGGTGCCCTGAGATCTAAGTTTCATAGTGTATGATACGAGTTTACATCGAAAATGTTAACAGTGTAACTGTATTGTTGTATATCATTAGATATATAGAACTTGATATAGTAACCGGACAGCACACATCGAAGGAGGTTAAAGGCCCAGATATAATCTGAGTTATATTTTATATTATCTTACCTCACACATAAATGTCGCTTTCTGATTGGCTGAGCGCTCTTCTATTATTTTCAATGTACCCCGCTTACAAGCGAGTAACATTTCAATGTACCTCATTGTCAATAAATAAGAGTGTAAGAGAGGTTTTCGATGATCTCATTTGTTGAGATAGGTCACGCCCGTTCGACGGAATTGGTACTGAACGCGGCGCTTGGCAACAAACAAACAAGCTCTATGTTTTCCATACCCTTGATTGTAATCAATATATACCGCCTAATGTATATATATGTATACATATAGAAGTGTAAGAGAGGTTTTCGATGACCTCATCTATTGTATTTCTGTGAGCGACTTGCTTCTTGAGCACAAGGTATACACACAGTTCTCGGGGAGGGATATACGCCCGTTCGTAGGAATTGGTTCCTAGCAACAAACAAACAAACATGCAAACCCACATACCTGTGTTGTTCTAACCCATGATTGTAATGAATATACCGCTTACGCGACTTTGGGGGACTGTACATGGTCAAACTGGAATGAATAACCCACATGCATTGAGGACAACAGTTACCGTATTTAAAGGGCATGTATACACGCAGATATACCACCGCCCCTATATCAACATGAAAAGAATTATGTAACAGTTTCATAGCCAAAAACCGCACAAATGTCACAAGAAACTGATGTATTGTATGCATAAATCGATTAAAATTGTGAACAATCTATTTCCATAATTCTGGAACCCGTGAAGATCCGGATTGGAATTGATCTTCAGTAATCAATGTTTGTCGTAAGAGGCGACTAACGGGATCGGGTGGTCAGGCTCGCTGACTTGGTTGACACATGTCATCGGTTCCCAATTGAGTAGATTGATGCTCATGCTGTTGATCAGTGGATTGTCTGGTCCAGACTCGATTATTTACAGACCGCCGCCATATTGCCGGAATAGTGCGGCGTAAAACTAAACTTACTCACTCATAATTTTGGAGTTCTATTTCCATAACTTATACAACGTGGCTTATGTCCTTGCAATATTATGCAAATTAATAAACGAATGACGTTATTGGACCTTATTATACCTATTTGTGCAATAACAGGAGTGTGGTTCATGTGTCTCGATGCACAGCCTACTGACTTAACCATGAATAAAATGACAATGGTAAAAGAACACACACGCCAGATGGCCAATGGGATACACCAGACAATATGTGCATTAGATGTATAAAATATAAGAATAAAAAACATAAAAGGGATACCATACATATGAAAGAACTAGAATAACATGTATGGTCATTATGTAATTGGAATGATAGCTTACGCCGATACATAAGGCTAACTAAAGCGACCATTGGATAAACAACATTTTCTGTTTATAAGAAGAGTGCAGTTTGTTCAGTGTCTGATATGTGAGCAAAGTTTTTGTAATTCTTGCCAATCAAGTTACAAGCATGGTTGCATTCAAAGACAATGGTTACAAATGAGTAGTGTATAAGCAATAGTTCTCCGATACAGAGAAACAATCAATGACAGTATTCCGATACAAATAGTTTTGACACAGTAGGCCTTACAAATAGTGTCAAAGTATATGAATAATATTACAAGGTTATGGCAAAACTGTACAATGCAATGACACATAAATCATTGAAAGTAAAATAGATTAAATTATTAATAACTATACAGACAGAGCATATAGACGCAAAGCTTATTATAAATAATGAAACCGAGATATTGTGTTTTTGAAAAACATGAAGTCAAGTGACTTCTTCATAACTATCTGACACAGGAAGCCATTTAAAAAAAAAAAATTATTCTAATTATTAATCATTCTAATTTATCATTCTTGTGGGCAGTAATGTTTTCAATATAATGTATCTGTTTAAAGATTTTTATCACTGAATCAACTGAAAGGGATGTCCTTTTAAGACTACTATAGAATACATGTCTTTTACATAACAAGAGTAAGTGGTTATTTAACTTAAATTTGGCTAGGAAACCAAAAGGAATAGCACAAGTGTCCACTTTTATTTCTTCATTAACAAAAGAGTTCAAGTATAGTTCTACACTCAACCAGAATCCTTTGACATGTTCACATTCTAGAAAAAACATGTGGTAAGCTTCTACTATCAGTTTTACAGAAGCAAATATCCTCATTCACTAGTTCCATATGTTTTAGTTCCTTCTTGGTGTAGATTATGCGGTGTAAGAATTTAAATTCTAATTCTAATAGTTTTACATCATTGCTGCAATGCCTATAATGAAGAAATAAATCTGCCCTGCGAGGAAATACCACAATGAAGTTTTCAACCCATTTGTTACACACAGGTGGAAACTCGTCACAAGCAATAATGTTATCATAGAAATATGTAGAACCCTTACCGGGTTTCGAATATCAAGTAACTTGTTACTAATCACCACATTTGAATTATTGATACATATTTGGTAATTAAAGGGGAAGTGTACACGAATAAATCACATTTATTCTTATGCGAATCAAAGTGAACTGTTTTAATTAGTTAATACCTATGTTTGAAAATATACTCATTTTTCTTACAATGTAAGTAAACTGAGGGGCAAAAGAAACGTCCCCAAAGTAAAATTGTAAAAAACATTTCTTCTGTTTTCGTTATGACGGAAATTTATTTAGGAACACATCTCCCGAAAGCATCCCCACGTCTCACAGAAAGGAAATCCACGTGGAGTTTTTTGTAAGCATGAAAATTGCTTTTATTCACGTTTTTTGCATGCTTCTGTGGAAACATACCCGTATGAAAGTACAGTATAAAAATTATGCTCGACTGTTCGAATTCATCACTTCAATACGTTGGACACAAAGAACATGCCTCGACTCACGGCAGAACAGAGAAAACGAGCTATTGGGATGTTGCAGCTGGGTGCTTCTCACAGTCACGTTGCAAGAATCATGGGTTGCAGCAAGAAAACCATCACCAGACTGATGACACGCTTCAGAACAACAGGTCGGACTGCAGACAGGCCTAGGACAGGGAGACCACCCGTAACCACCCCTCAGGAAGACCCCCATTTACGGGTGCTTCACTTGCGCAACAGATTCCTGACTGTGACGTCATCAGCGACAACCAGCCTTACCCATCGAGTCAGTAGGAGGACCATATCCAGACGACTCCGCCGATTCGGTATCAGAGCCTACAGACCATTCCGGGGCGTGATGTTAACGCGTGAACATCGACGTCGTCGATTGGCTTGGGCACGTAGAGTTCCTTGGCCAGCAAGATCCCCCGATTTATCACCTATTGAGCACCTATGGGATCATCTCGGCCGTCAGGTTAAGCAACGTCAACATCCCCCACAGACAAGAAACGCTTTGGCTCAAGCTCTACAAGAAGAATGGCGTCGCATCCCAGATCACGTGATCAGACGTCTTGTGCACTCTGCACGACGTCGTGTGGCAGCATGTATCGCTGCAAGAGGTGGACACACTCGCTACTGAGGAGTTGGACACTCAAAGACACTCTGTCAGTACTGATGTGCATGTGTTGTCATGATCGAAAACCGGACATTTGAACCTCCTGTGAAAAACGTCACAAAAACTCTACTTATAGCAAATTGTTTCAATTGTTCTGTAATGACAGTCTGCATAATATGTTCAAAAATTTTATCAAACATTTCAACATTGAATTGCACGTGTTTGTATCATTTTATGATAAAAAAATGATCGGGGACGTTTCTTTTGCCCCTCAGTTTATAACCCTCAAAATAAGTGCTGAAATGTTATGCCAATATGAGGTATTTGTTTGCCGAGCTAAACAGGCCTGAGTTACCGCCCTTTGATTATGACGTAATTGGTGCGACTTGATTTTAAACTGGTCTCCTGTCTAGTCCCAAATCAAAAGATAATACTACTGATATTAATCACGTGAAAAAAAGTTTGTGAAAATACGAAGAAGCATAAGAACAGAAAATGTAAGCAGCAGGATAGTGGGTATTTTCATTCATAACCTCGCCTCAATGAAAATACCAAATATGTATAACAATGTTGACGTTCGTATGACATCACTATCGGGAAGCGACCTTTTCAAAATCGCGTGTGCACTGACACGAGTACGTCCGTGTTTTCGAAGGAAGTTTTCGTTGTTTCAAGCAACGTATATGCAACATATAAATTGTGCCATGTAAGTAGTCCCAAACTTGTGTCAGTCTGCTGGTTGTTATTTTCTTTTTGTTTTCATTGTGACCAAGGGAAATAGTCAGAAATTAAGAGAAGTACCGTCATCGTTGTGCGTGAGTTTGCGTCAGTTATGGCGGCATGCTTTCAAAAACTATAATATGTTGTGATGAATCTAGAAAATCAATGGAACACACCTGTTTTATTTAACTATCGCTTGCTACGATACCTTTCCCATGCATGTTCTAAAACTAATGAGCAATTGTATGCAACAAGTAGGCGAACGGATACATAGT